TTCAGAATATTAAATGATGGTTTTTGATGTTTGCAAAAATGAAAAATTGTTTTGAAAATTCACGATGTTACAAGTTGGTAATGACATACTTGAATAAAATAGAATCAGTTACTAGCTTCTTGGTAACCTTGCGACTTTCTCTGATCCAAGTGTGAGTCCTGTGCTTCCAGTAGTATAAATCTTTACTAATATTCACACCTACTCATACTCATCCCAAGTATTGTCTTGCTGTCCCCAAGTCCTAATATCACAAAACAATTTAACACATACTAATGTGTCCAATTAATCATAAAAAAAATTCCTAGACTCTACTAGGACTTCTTCCATGCACATCTTCACTCATCAATTCTACTTTAACTCGGTTGGTGATGGAAATTCCAGACGATGGGACAACTACAAGAATTACACCAATCGTTCCATCATCCTGCCAATCGAATGTGTACTTCAGACGTACCGTACTCCTCTAAACATTCTGTTATTTTATCAGACATATTCTAAAGGCAAGATACCACTCTTACGATATCTTCTGATAGGTGTCATTCACTATCATAAGCCTTTCATTTCCTTCATTTACTCAATTCTCTACGAGTCTTCACCATAACGTTCTATACACCAAAGCAAATGTCCGGTGTATCGAGACGAGAATATAGATAGAGGAAGGTTTAGACGTGTAATCCTCCTTATTACTCCAAAAAGTTACATGTCAGTTCTAATATCGTAATTAAACATTTAGAACCCTGAGCACATAAAATTTCTAGATCGAGTCGGCAACAGACCATAGATCCAAAGAAATAATAACATATAGGGCAAACATATAGCATTTAGCGCATAAAAGCATTTTAGGCATCTTTCCTAAAATATACTAGTGCTCGTGTCTAAAATATGGTAGACACTCATCTCACAATCATCGCTTAGCATTCTAAGTTTAAGTCTAGAAATCCTACAAATTCCTAGTTCGCTAAAACTAATGCTCGGATACCAACTGTGACATCCCCAATTTCACGGCCAGAAAAGACCAATTTGTTTATGCTTTGTTTTATAAAATCAGAGTAATCCTTTGATTAAACGAGTTAAGGAATTTGTTCCCAAAATAAAATATGATAAAATAAATTATCTCAAAGCATTTCTTAAAGAAATGTATTTTCATCAAATAACAAAATCTCGGGATGTCATATTCCGATACTGACCAAAAGCATAAATAATATAAAATAGACCTTACAACAGTTATTTATAACTACTGATCTATAATCTAAAATCTCTCGTCAAGTCCACCAACTTATACCCTTGTGTCATTAGCTGTAACGCAAAGAAAACTGAGTGGGTCAGGCTTGGGAGCCTGGTGAGCATACAGGGTTTTCAACCCACAATAATATAATTATTATATTTAATCATCAAACAATCAACCCAATTACCCATCCCCATTATCTTCGTTTAATCTTCCCTAAAGATATTATCCTAAGGGTCATCTCCTATATCATATTTACCTCTCATATCCTTACATATTATTTCCTTATATGTTTGTTCCTAAGAACTTTTCCTAAGGATCATCGGCTACATCACATAGACAATACTAATTCGGTGATCACTCCCTCAATATATGTCTAGTGAGGGTTAGGGTATCATCGCATGATTACACAGCCACAACATCGCATGGACTCGTAAATCATAATAAGGGTTAGACTATCATCGCATGAATACCCAGCCACAACATCGCCTGGACTCGTAATTCATAATAAGGGTTAGACTATCACCGCATGAATACGCAGCCACAACATCTCCTGGACTCATAATTCATAATAAGGGTTAAACTATCATTGCATGAATATGCAGCCACAAGATCGCATGGACTCGTAATTCATAATAAGGGTTAGACTATCATCGCATGAATACGCAGCCACAACATCGCCTGGACTCGTAATTCATAATAAGGGTTAGATTATCATCACATGAATAAGCAGCCACAACATTGCCTGGACTCGTAATTCATTACCTATCTATCATCACCTAATTATGATCACCATTATATCCTTACCTATCTCTTATTACATTATTTCATCACACACCAACTATTTCATCTACCCATGTTCTACCCAACATATTTGTAGATATAAATTACATACACAGTTTAAAACTATTTAAAAACCTGTATAAAACATTAATTCAACATCCATCTCATGTAAAAAACAATATATAAACATATAACACGTATTTCATAGCAAATACTTTATATCTATGTGTTAGAAGAAATTAACTACACACTCACTTAATTAGATGATGCTTGGACAACACTACGGTTTGTAAAAGTAGTATTCTTTGGTAGATCAGGAAGATCTTCACAAAAACCGGCTTCTCGCAGGCAGAGTTTCGGCTCGAGAATTTCACTTCTCGGGATCTTCGGGCTTTGGGACTTGCTTCGGGTCTCGGGATGATACCGAGGCTTCGGGGGTATAAGATAGGGCTTAGAGAGGGTATTGGGAGTGGGAGAGAAGAGATTGAGCAACCAAACTCGGTTGCCCCTTGAATTCTATTTATAGGGCCATTTTTCTGGATTCACGCCGTGAATCTCAAATATTCAATTTGTGAGTTCAATAATCATCAAGTGCGTCATCACAACTTACGTCTGTCAGGCTCCAGAAGTCATAAATACTGAGTTCACGTCGTGAACACTGTATTCACGTCGTGAACACTGTATTCACGTCGTGAACTCTGACAGTTTTGGGGTTTCGCGCCCCAAACTTCAAAAATTCATAACTTTCGCATACAAACTCCGTTTTCGACGTTGTTTATATCCATGTGTAGGTGAGATTATGCTCTACAACTCTCATTTAGATTCCGTCAGCTAATTTTGACTTTATTTTTAATATATTATTTTTAGTAGGCCGGGACAGGAAAACTACGTTATAAACTATTAACTTCTTCATCTATCGTCCGTTTTCATCTGTCTTTCCGCCATTACACTAACATCGATGAGATCTTCAATTCTCATTTATATTGTTCCGGCTAAATATCACTTGATCTCCTATTCAAACTTCGGACTGTACACTGCTAATGCTGAAACTTTCGAAAAATCATAACTTGCTCATACGAAGTCAGATTTAAACGTTCTTTTTTATACAGGCTCTCAATTTAACGTATTATACGACTTTCATTTAAATTTCTAAGGCTAAATATCGCTCTAACGTAAATTTACTATTTATGTCGCGCTGTGTCGTGTCGGTTCTGTCGCGAAACTTCGTCATGTTATAACTCGGATTTCGACATTCTTTATATGAACGGAAACCTTGTGACATATACTAAAACTTTGTTAAGATTAATCCTTCTAAATAATCTTCCATAAAAAAGTTATTTTTGACGCTCATTGTCTCTAAATTGACTAGCCCTGATCTACGGGCGTTACATTTCATCAAGCACCTTGTGTGCTTCTTTTTTTTTGAAGAAATTTCTTATGTAAACATCATCACTGGAGACTGTATTTGATGCGGTGATGGAACCGACATTGGCCATCGTGAAATACCATTCATACAAACACCTTATCTAACGTGAAAACAGACAAACACGTTAGATCTGATTAAAATCAGGTGGTGTTTGATTAAATATCAGAGAAAAATAGAAGAATGTGAGTTGCAGAGAAGGGGAACGTGGTCAAAAAAACAGATCTTGTAAGGATGAGACTGATATTTCTCATATGATGGAACTACCAGAGAAAAAACGAGTGTTCTTGAACAAAAAACGAGTATATTAGCATCTAAACATGCACTAAATACATTAGACATGACCAGATCTGAGAAATCAGTGCATATTTGGTTAGATCCGAGAATTTGGTGGCGACTAGTGATTTTCCAGACAATCTGAGGTGAGGATGCTCGCCGGAAAACAAAAAGCTTTATGAAATCGTTCTAAATTTTAGATCTGATTAGCTCTATGCAAATCTGACCAGATCTACACATATTTGGTATGATAGAGGCTGATGGCGGTCATCATTAGTGGTGAAAAAAGGTTGTGGTTATGAGCGATGATGGAGGAAAAGGTAAGATCTAGAGCTGACGGTGGTTGTTGGTGGCAGATCTGGAGGCTTTTGGTGAAAATCCGACCAGATCTAAATAGATATGTTGAGTTGGTAAATATGGTATTTCACGATCTAGAGGCATGAAATCTGATGACTTGGTAGCGGCGGTGGTAGGAAAATGCGATGATGGAGGTAGGTGGTGGAGGTAAGTAGTGAAGGTAGGTGACAGAAGTGGTGTTAGACTTTGAGTTCATGAAGCTTAATGAGAGAGTGTGAGTATATCATATTAGTTAGTTTTTTTTGTCTAATAGGTATAATGTTACATAGTGAAAACATACAAAGAGTTTTTGACAAAAATGTCCTTTATTAAAATGGTTCTTGATTTTTATGGGTTTTCATTTGAACTTTTATATATATATATATATATATATATATATATATATATATATATATATATATATATATATATATATATATATATATATATATATATATATATAGAGAGAGAGAGAGAGAGAGAGACTTGCAAAATACCTAAATATTAAGCTAAGGGGAATGGTAACACTCTTAACACATTTTGAAGTGTCACCTCCTTTTTGAACATTTAACACTTAACCTTTACATTTGGTAGGAAGTGGTAACACTTCTAACACTCTATTTTTTTCTAATTTAATTAAATGATTTTATTTTAATATGTAAATATTTTTTGTGCATAAATATTAAACAAATTTTATTTTTTTAAACCATAAACAATTAATATAATATTTGATAATCAACCGTATATGTTTTTACCAATGTTAAGAGATCTGAATTTCTAAGAGGGTCTGAAATTTTAAGAGCTGAATGTTTAACATGTTGTTTGGTTGGGACTTCTGAATTGCTATGATGAATTATTAAAATGACAATTTTACCCTTATGTTTTTTTTATTGAATTCAACTATTTGCTTAGAAAATAACCTAATAAATTTCTTAAATACATATTAAAAAAATATAAACACTATATAAAATCCAAATTTAGCAAGTTTATTCTTACATTATGCATAAAAATGCAAGTTTATTCTTACATTATGCATCTAACTCTTCTAAAACTACGATATAAACAAGGATTTATAAACAAACTTACAAACCACCATAACTTATACATCCTCTATGTCATTTATTAATAATAAACCATACAAAAAGTAGCATAGCATAAATTTTCCAGAATTATGCAACAAAATAATGATCTTCAACTCCAAATGAGTTCTGCCATAACATAAATAAACAAACCCACATCATTTATCTAACACATACAGAGACCCAATTAAGAAGATATCATATTGCCTTTGTTTCGTAGAGAAAAATGATAAACCTAAACTATGCTCAGTCTAACTAATTACTATCTACAAATTAACATCTACATATATAAAATCAATAACGAAAATATACTAAATTGTAAAGGGATTGAAGAATTACCAGAAATCGGTTTGCAGAAATCAGAGCATTGTTCAGTTTCTTTTGTTGTTGGGATACATATGTGGACTAGGGGGTTCACTGCTAGCGGAGATGGCAGCGCCGGGGGAAAAAGTGGCCAACTAGTGGTGGAGAGGATGGCGGAATTAGAGATGCAGTGGGAAGGACGTAATAGGGAAAGAAGTGAGATATTAGGGAAAACTACAACTTTACCAGTAGAAGATGCTGAAGGCGAAGAAGGACCCCGAGACGAAGACGACATAAACGAAGCAGTCGGAGGCGGCAGTGAATCCGGTGACGGCGGTGGCTTTGCAGATCTGACGGAGGCATACGGCTGATGTCAGAGGGTTGCAAACATGCGAATGGAGATGGAGGGGAAGGAGGGGTAGGCGTTTGTGAAAGAAAGAGAAGAGGGAAAGGGTAGACGTATCAGGGCAAAAAAGGAATGCGCCTTATTTTTTTTAATTCAGACACGTCCCAAGATCTGAAAAATTAAGAGGCATTTTAAAAATTAAGAGTCATAAATTCAGATGTTACCAAACAGTCTAGATCTTAAAATTTAAGAGACTACCTCTTAATTTTCCAATTAAGAGGTTACCAAACAAGGCCTAAGTTTATAGGTAAAGTAAAACTACAAGGACCATTCAATAAATATTTTATATTTCATGTACTTTATCTTCTCTTCTTTTGAAAAAACTGAGACGCTTTATCTTCTTCTATTTCCAACAAAATCGCCATTTTTATTACAAAGCATAGTTCGTTAAATTGAATTTTGTCAAGCAATTAGTAATCAAACCACACACCGACCAATCGTCGTATTCATTTCTCATCTTCTCTCTCTTCTCGCCAACACAGTGACGAGCCTCCAGTGGCGAGCCCCCTAACGAGTGCGGGGGGCGGTGTTCCAAGCTGCTTAGCGAATTTGACGATGGTATTTGGCGAGTCACTCCGCTTAGCCTTAGCAACCTGCAAAAATTGTAGATATTTAGAAAAAAAAAATTCTTTTTTTGACTATTTAAAAAAGAAAAAAAAAAACGTGATTAGTTATTATGGTGATTTCCTCTTTTTAATATTACCACATAAAAGTCTCTTATACTTTTAATAATTCAAATAAAGATCAACACCCCATCGATCGTCGGATTATATTCCATCTCTATCATGTGTCCTTTATTAGACAAGTCCAAAATAAACTATATTTAAAGAACAAATTGTTAAAAAGAAATACCAACACGTTTTATAAATTCTATATTTTATAACTAGACGATTTGAAAAATGCAACCTCCTTTTTTCAATGTCCTCGGGAAGGGAGGAGTTCCATTATAATTAAATACAACGTCTTCTTACATGGAAAAAAAATTGCATCATTCATTAGCTTCTACAATCCTTCCGATTAGAATCTAAATTTTAGTCAACTATCACAATGTCCTCTTTCATGGGTGAATATCAGCACCTCAAAATTCCACTTGAACGCATACAACAGGCCACCAACAACTTTGGTGACACTCACTTTCTTGCGGAAGGTGGATTTGGGAAGGTGTATAGGGGAGAACTCATCCGATCCAACGGTCCAACCATGGCTGCTGTAAAGCGCTTGACTCCTTCAAATCATGGGGATGCTGATTTTTGGAGAGAGATCATGTTGCTTTCGGAATATAAACATGACAATATCATCTCACTCCTCGGTTTCTGCTATCAACATAAGGAAAGAATCCTTGTGTACGAGTATGCACCAAAGAAAAGCCTCGACAATCATTTACGTGACCCCAAGTTCACGTGGGTTCAACGTCTCAAGATATGTCTTGGAGCTGCACGTGGCTTGGAATACCTTCACAATCCCAGAGAAGGCCAACAAAGAGTTCTACATCGCGATATCAAAAGCGCCAACATCTTATTGGACGAAAATTGGAATGCGAAAATTGCAGATTTTGGGTTTTCCAAATATGGCCCAGCTAATCAAAAACACTCTATGCTTATCACTGAACCCAAAGGCACTCTTGGGTATTGTGATCCTGTGTTTCTAGAGACAACGTTTTACGTAAAAGAATCCGATGTATACTCATTCGGAGTGGTACTATTTGAAGTTTTGTGCTCAAGGCTTTGTCTTGATTATAGTTATGATGATATGCGAAGATCCCTACCTGCATTCGTTAAGAACTCTTCTAAAGAGAAAATCAGGGATACGATTATCGATGTTAATCTACTGCAACAAATTGAAGAAAACTCTTTTGATACCTTCGTAACACTCGCGCTTAAATGTTTGGAAAGAGAGCAGAAAAAACGTCCATCTATGGAGTTGATCGTGAAAAAGATTGAAACTGCACTCCAATATCAGGTATCTTCTATAACTATTTTTCTGTATCGCTAGGCTAAAATCAACAAACGTTTCAAAAATCAATAGAAATAGTAAGGCTGGAAACAGCAAACAGGACTAATTTCCTATTTTTAAACAATGTTTTTGGAAGTTTATTTTTCGGATCATTAACTAATTGCCTCGTAACTTGTTTGTTGGTGTTCATAGGAACAAAGAAACGTCGTTTTTGCAAATAATGTGAACTTCGCATCATCATCTTCAACACTATATGCAGTAAAAGAAAATCCAAATCTACTTCCTCAAAAGAAACAAGCTGGGAGAAATGTTGAGAGGTTCCCGACCTTTGCTTACTCCGCTGTGAAGGAACTGAAGATCGGAAAAGGAGCACTGGAATGCGTCGTTTGTCTTAACGTATTCAAAGACGAAGAAACTCTCCGGTTGATCCCCAAATGCGATCATGTTTTTCACGCTGAGTGCATCGATGCTTGGCTCGAGAATCACCTACTTTGCCCTATCTGCCGAACCGATCTTGCTCCCAAACCCGGTTGGTGAGTCAACTCAAATCGAATGATCAGGAGCTGCGGAGGGAGCTGATAATCAGCGACCGCGGCTGCGGATGAAGGAAATATGGTAACAGACTTCTCGATTACAATCGGCCGCCGGTTTAGTTGGTATCTTCGTCGCCGGTTTTTGTTGACGATTTTGTCAAGATTGTGATTTCGATTCGAAAACATTGTAAGGGCCACACACGAATTAAAAATTTAGGGGAAGTTGCCAAAATTGCGATCCTCGTGGTGGTTATTAAACTTATAACTTTTGTTGTATTTTTATAAAAATATTTTGGGAAAATGACTCTTGAGGGTAATTAACTTTTGTGTTTGTTTTCATTTGGTTCCCTTTTTTTTTTTTTATATTCAATATACCATCAAACTTGTTGTTGGTGTTTACCATAGCCGTTTTGACCGGCTTTTGACCTGTGATAGCCGATCAAAGGGTTATGGTGAACACAAACAACAAGTTCGATGGTATATTGATTACAAAAAAAAGGAAAGGGACTAAATGAGAACAAACGTAAGAGTTGGTTACCCTCCTGATTCATTTTCCCTTTACTCATTTACAACAAATCTCACATCATCTTCTACTGATATTAATGACTTTATGATATTCATTCTTGCTTCTCTTCAAAACATAACTCACGAAAGGACATTATTCATGCATGTACAACTTTGTAATGCACTTGAATATTTATTAGGGGAATCTTGACTAAGTAGGCGCATTTCATGACTACATTTAAATTTGCAATCAAATGATTTATCGTATCATGGATTCTAGACAAGTCTACAAACGAGTAGAATCACAAGTGCTGTGATTTTTGAGTTTACTTAGCTTTAAGATCGAACTCATGGGATAAGATACAACATCAATATGTACAATATCATGCTGCTTTTGTAGACACATCACCATAATATTGTACATATTGATGTTGTATCTTATGTTGGGTTTTGAGCAATCTAACACTTCCTAAGTGTGCATGCAACCCTAATAAACATTGGATCTATGTTTGTCTAAATACATGCAAAATAATAATTTTCCAAGGTTCATACAGAGCCGGTCCAACCGTATAAGGGGCCCGGGGTGAAAAGAAAAAAAAATGGTCTCTTAAAGACACATATAATAAAGACTAAAAAAAATATCATTTACTCTTGGTTATAAACACGTTCAATTAGCAATAATAAAAAAGTCAAATTGTTTATTTTTTGAACTGGTTTGATTTTGAGCCAACTTTAGTCCCTAAAAATCATGTTTGTAATAATTGTTTTATATATATACACTATATGGCCTAGAAATTATAGGCCCCTGGAGTCGTGGCCCCTGGGCGGTCGCCCGGGTTGCCCACCGTCTGGATCGGCCCTGGGTTCATAACCTATCTAACATGGCATGGGGTACTTTTAAACATAAAAGAATTAGATGAGATTACATACCTTTTTGATGAGTTTGATTCTTAAGGAGTTTGAGGGTCAAGCACCAATAGTGTGAATGCCTCAAATGGAATCACAAATCACCACAAACACTTGGAAAACTTTGAGAGAGTGTATACACACTATAATTTCGGCCACACACAAACACACACACTAGTGGCTATTTCATGCAACATAAGCATGCTTATATAGTGTGCATGGTTAGGGTGAAACCCTAATAACCCATGACCTTTCCTTTTCCAAGGATCCATGGGTTAAAAGCTCCATGGATCATCCATGGACTTCCATACAAGCCTAGCCCATTAACAAATGAGTATTAGCCCACACCATATAAAACCAATAGCCCACAATCTAATTCGTCTTCCTTTTAATCTCTAAATTAATTCATAATTAATTTAAGACTAAGACTAATTAAATAACATGACTTCATATTAATATATTATAACTTATAATATATTAATAATCATATGTGTATAACTCTCATAAAATTATCCATAAATAGTTCGGGTGAAGTGCAACCCAAATGGACAATGTCGGGTCGGGTCAAGTACATACCAAATAAGTTATGGACTTAGACACCTTATCCAACATCTTATCCCATGAATTCGATCTTAAAGTTAAGTAAACTAAAAAATCATAGCACTTGTGATTCAACTCGTTTGTAGACTTGTCTATAATCCATGATACGATAAATCATTTGATTGAAAATGTAAATGTAGTCATGAAATGCGCCTGCTTAGTCAAGATTCCCCTAATAAATATTCAAGTGCATTACAAAGTTGTACATGTATAAATAATGTCCTTTCGTAGGTTATGTTTTGAAGAGAAGCAAGAATGAATCTCATAAAGTCATTAATATCAGTAGGAGATGATGTGATATTTGTTGTAAATGAGTAAAGGGAAAATGAATCAGGAGGGTAACCAACTGTTGTGTTTGTTCTCATTTGGTCCCTTTCCTTTTTTTTGTACTCAATATACCATCGAACTTGTTGTTTGTGTTCACCATAACCCTTTGACCGGCTATCACAGGTCAAAAGCCGGTCAAAAGGGCTATGGTAAACACCAACAACAAGTTCAATGGTATATTGAATACAAAAAAAAAGAAAAGGGACCAAATGAGTACAAACGCAAAAGTTAATTACCCTCAAGAGTCATTTTCCCAAATATTAAAAGCAACTTATGATATTAATTTTTTTTTCCTAGGAACACCAACAAACAAGTTATAAGTCACGTCGTCCGAAAAATCCTTAAAATCGGTTCAAGTCGACCAATTTGACTTAAGTATATTTTCAAGTCGAGCTTGAATATTTAAATACATGGCTTATGTAGGGATGTCAACAGTACCAAACGGGAGCGGAAATAGCTTCCCCCGCTCCCGCCCCCGAAATTAGTTGGTGCCCCTGCTTTCGGTCCCGCCCCTGACTCCCCCGCTTACATAGCCCCCGGTCCCGCCCCCGGTTACCTCCATCACTCTCGGTCTCGCCCCCGTTCCCCCGGTTCCCCCGTTTATAGGCTTAAAATTCGATTTTTTTTGCTAAACAATTACTTTGGTTTAGGTTAAAAAGACTATTTTTAACAACTTTAAAAGCTTAAAACCTAATCTTTTAGAAACTAAAAAATTAAAAATCCAACACTGCGAATCAAACATTACAAAATGACAATTCTAACAATCTTATAAATATAAAATACGACAAATCAAATATTATAAATATAAAATACTTACATGTCCAGAATTATATGATCAATTCACTACCTCTTTAATATCCATTAATTGGAAATGGGAAAGTAAAACCTAACCTAAACCTAAAATTAGAAAATTTATTTTGTATATGTATTTTATATTAAATATATATTTTTTACATAAACGTACAAATGGGGTCCCCGCGGGAGTACGGGACGGAAATACCAACTCCCGACCCCGGTCCCGAAAATAAACGGGGTTTAATTTTGCCCTCGCTCTTGCTCCCAGTTTTTTTTAAAATTTAATTCCGTACGGGATCGGGATCCCACAGGGGTTTTTGATATCCCTAGGCTTATGAGTTTAATAGATCTTACTTATATCTATATTTTTATCTTTCGGTATATATTCATATTTTACATAATGGAACCAAGTGACTGGAACTCAGAAGTTTGGTTGTATTTATATTTCAATTTAATTTCAATTTTATATTTTTAATATTTATTAGTATTGATTACTTTATCAACTCCGGTTTGACTTTAAAATGGAGTCTCAAGTTGAGTTTAGGGCCGAGTTTTTTTAGTTGAATCAAGTTTTGAGTTTTGTGGTATTAGACTCAAACTTGTGTCGGTTACACTCTAACCAAATGAGAATCTCTAGCCTACAAGACAATCATCTAGAAATGTTTTCCATCATTTTTGTTTTTTTGCCGAAGAACTATATGTAGTTTTTAAAATGGTTAAATGTTTGGTTCTACACAAAATTTACATGTAACTTGTTAATGAGATCATAACATGATTAATTTTTGTTAGTTGTGTAAACTGAATAAGAAATAAATATTATTATATAAAACGATAAAAAGTAGTATTATATAAAATGACAGAAAAATGAAATACTATCCCATAATATAATATAAAACAAGAGAAATTGTTGTTTGAACTCTGAATTAAGAAACTGAAACATTATGAAAATTTAGTAGCCAAATACTATTATTACATAAATAAATACGTTGACTAACATCACATCCGGTTTGCGACGTCTAAAACTCTAGGTATATTACATTCTTCAAGTCACTTTCTTTATATGAACCAAGAAAAATAACACATAACCGTATATATAAGTATTTCTCTTTAAAATTAAGCTATTTTATATTGGAAAAATAACACATAACCAATGCCCCTTTTGGTCCCAACAAAGAAAAGTAAATGTATTTTACTTTTACAAAAAATCTTAGTTTATGATTAATTTTGTTCCTGCATCATAGACTCCTAATTTGTTTAGATTTAAAACTTTGTTGGTTTTAAATGATCTTTGTTTTGGATTTGATGGATTTTATATTTATTTCTTGAACATACGTTGGGTTATTGTTTTCGGTCCTATAATGTTGTTTGATATTTTATTTTGTTTTTCTACAAATGATTTTAGACAATATTGTTTTCTTTGCCATATTATTGAGAAATTACATAAATAACATTGATATCCGTGTAATGGACTTAAATTTCACAAATCTACAATTTTTAAGTTTTTGAAACACCAAGGAACCCAAATCGAAAAAACATTGAAGAAGATGAAAAATGAAAAAGAAAACAAAGATATTGGTGATCTTTTTGAGGAAATCACCCAAATTTTAGGAACCCATAAATTGACAGTGTGTTCCAACGGGGGAATCCAGATTCCAATAATAAATGCTAGGAATAGAGAGGTGGGAGGTTCCTTATGTTACACAGAAGTTGTTTGTTAAAATGTCAATATGAATCTAGAGTTTAAACTTACAACAACCAATATAACTAAAAAGGATGTGAATCCAATAATACCAATGGTGGAATCCGGATTCCCAAATTGCCCTTAAAGTTTGATTCTGAATTTGTACATAACCTTTCTAAAAAGGTTCTTTA